TAAAAGCACAACATTCAGCAGCTAGAGTAGATCCAGAAATGTAGACTCCTCTTACTGAATTCCTTTTCCTGTAGCTCCTTTGGATAAAACTTAGTTTGGTGGTGGTGGTGTTTAATTTTGCTGGGCGAATCTTAACAGTTCGGAAAGAGTAAGTTAAATTTGAAACTTTCAGAAAAAGAAAAGATCAGAGAATAAGAAATCCAGGAAGGGGGAGTGGGGGGGGGAGGTTAAAGGGAAATTATCCTCGAGTAAATAATTTCTTTTTTTAAAAAAACTACACCTATTCAACTCTCTCCTGGTAAAGGAGAGTATACAACAGTTGGTCCTTGCAGACCTCTCTCTTCCTATAGAAAATTGAACCTCCATGTTCAAGCATAGCACACAGCTCCACAATCCAGGTGCGGGAAAAGGCATAAAAAGACGGCACGGAGGCGTCACAGGTGGGACAAAATGACAAAAAGTGCATCGAGGCAATTGAGTTGCAAGCGGTGTCTCTTTGTTTTGATGAATCGTGACACAATTCCGTGGAGATTTGAAATGGGTAGGATGTCACGGCAATGCCTCTATTTTCATGTTTGCCAAAGCCTCCAATTAACAGAATAACAGGAATCGGAAGGGACTTGTAGGTCATCTAGTCTAACCCCCCTCTCCCCCCATCCCGCGTCCAAGCAGGAGACCCTACACCATTTCTGACGGATGGCAGTCCAGTCTCTTCTTGAAAGCTTCTGGTGATGATGCTCCCACAACTTCTGAAGACAAGCTGGTCCTCTGGTTGGTTTTTCCCACTGTAAGATACAAGATACAAAGCTTTACATCTGGTAGGAAAAATGTGCAGGCCAAGTATAGAATGGAAGAGGGGCAACCTAGCAGTAGTTTCTGTGAAAGGAATTGGCATTCTTACAGAATATACAGAATAACAGAGTTGGAAGGGACCTTGTAGGTCATCTAGTCCAAACTCCTGCTCAAACAGGAAAACGTATACTATTTCTGAGAATGACAGTCCAGTCTGTTGTTGAAAGCTTCCAATGATGATGATGATGTTAGTTGCGAAGTCGTGTCCGATCCATCACAATCCCATGGACAACATTCCACCAGGCCTTCCTGTACTTTATCATACCCCAGAGTCCAATTAATTTCATGCAGACTGCTTCATTGATTCCATCCAGCCACCTCATTCTCTGTCGTCTTCTTTTGTCCTCAATTGTTCCCAGCTTTAGGCTCTTCTCCAGTGAGTCCTTCCTTCTCATTAGGTAGCCAAAGTATTTGAGTTTCATCTTCAGGATCTGGCCTTCTAAAGAGCAGACATGGTTGATCACCTCTAGGACTGACCGGTTTGATCACCTTGCAGTTCAAGGGACTCACAGGAGTCTCCTCCAGCACCATAGTTCAAAGACCTCAATTCTTTGGCGCTCAGCCTTCCTTATGGTCTGACTTTCGCAGCCATACATTGCAACTGGAAAAACCATAGCCTTGACTATACGCACTTTTGTTAGCAGGGTGATGTCTCTGCTTTTTAGTATGCTGTCTAGATTTGCCATAGTTTTTCTCCCCAGGAGCAAGCGTCTTTTAATTTCTTGGTTGCAGTCCCCATCTGCAGTGATCTTGGAGCCCAGGAAAATAAAATCTGCCACTACCTCCATTTCTTCTCCTTTCTTTGGAATTGGAATGTAAACTGACTTTTTCCAATCCTGTGGCCACTGTTGAGTTTTCCAAATTTGCTGGCAAATTGAGTGTAGCACTTTTACTGCATCAACTTTTAAGATTTTGAATAGCTCAGCTGGAATACTGTCACCTCCACTAGCTTTTTTGTTGCTCAGATTTTCTAAGGCCCATTTCAATTCACATTCTAGGATGTTTGGCTCGAGGTCAGTGACCTCCCCATCGTGGTTATCAGGAACATTAAGCTCGTTGTTGTATAGTTCTTCTGTGTAATTTTGCCACTTTTTCTTAATCTCTTCTGCCTCTGTTAGGTCCCTGCCATTTTAGTCCTTTATCATGCCTTTATTATATTTTTCATGTTTTGCATGAAACATTCCCTTCATATCTCCAATTTTCTTGAAGAGATCTCTGGTCCTCCCTATTCTGTTGTTTTCTTCTATTTCTTTGAACTGTTCATTTAAGAAGGCATTCTTATCTCTTCTAGCTATTCTCTTGAATTCTGCATTCATTTGGGTCTATCTTTCTCTCTCCCTTGCCTTTCGCTTCCCTTCTTTCCTCAGCTATTTGCAAAGCTTCCTCAGACATGATGATAAAGACATCAGTTTTTGGTGTTAATTCTATAAGGTGCTGTAGGCCTTCATAGAATCGGTCAATTTCATCCTCTTCAGCACCAGTAGTTGGGGCATAGACTTGGACTATTGCGATATTGAGTGGTTTGCCTTGGATTCGAACTGAGATTATTCTGTCATTTTGGGGATTGTATCCCAGTATTGCTTTTCATACTGTTTTATTAACTATGAAGGCTACTCCATTTCTTCTGAGGGATTCTTGCCCGCAGTAGTACACCTGATGGTCATCTGAATTAAATTCACCCATTCCTGTCCATTTTAGTTCGCTGATTCCTAAGTTGTCGATGTTCAGTCTTGTCATCCCTGGTTTGACCACGTCCAGCTTGCCTTGATTCATGGATCTTACATTCCAGGTTCCTATGGAGAATACATCTTTAAAGCATCGGACTTTCCTTTCAACACCAGATGCATCCACAGCTGAGCATCCTTTTGGGTTTGGCCAGTCACTTCACTCTTTCTGGCGCTACTAGTACTAACCCTCTGCTCTTCCCCAGTAGCATATTGGACATCTTCCGACCTGAGAGGCTCATCTTCCAGTGTCATATCTGTTTGCCTTTTGGTACTGTCCATGGGGTTTTCATGGCAAAGATACTGGAGTGAGTTGCCATTCCCTTCTCCAGTGGATCACGTTTTATCAGAGCTCTCGGCTATGACCTGTCCGTCTTGGGCCCTGCAAGGCATAGCTCATAGCTTCGTTGAACTACACAAGCCCCTTCGCCACGACAAGACAGTAATCCATGAAGGGGGCAACTGTATTACTGCAACAGTATTAATTGAAAGGGGAAAAAAGAAAAGTTGGAGACTGGAAAGGACCTGGGAAATGTAAGCTTTGCAGAAGAGGAAATCAAAAAATGCTTGATCAGTGTAAATTATGCTGACTGGGGAACTCTGGCAGTTGAAATCTCCACATCTTTATATTGCTAAGAATATAGAATCATAGGGCTGGAACGGACCTTGAAGGTCTTCTAGTCTAACTCCCTGCCCAAGGCAGGGGACCTTATGCCATCTGTCAAATGGTTGTCCAATCTATTTTTGAAAATCTCCAGTGATGGAACACCCAGAACTCCCAAGAGGCAAGATATTCCATTGATTAATTCTTCTCACCATTAGAAAATTGCTCCTTACTTCTAGGGTGGATCTCTCTTTGACAAGCTTCCACCCATTACTTCTTGTCCTACCATCTGCTGCCCTAGAGAATAAGTCAATCCTCTCTTCTTTGTGACAGATCCTCAAGTGTATTGGAAGAGGAGCTATCACGTCCCCCTTAACCCTTCTCTTTTAGTCTAGGATACCCCATGCTCTGCCTCCTGCCCCTTGGTTTCCCCAAAGCCATGTGGGCCTTCTCCATACTCCACCCCATCACCATTTGCTGACTTACATTTTGATGAGCTCAGGAAGTCAGAGTAGAGAAGGCCATTCTCTCGGTGGACCACATGGCACAATCAAGAAGAAATCTAATCTCTTGTTTCCATGGCAATCCTTTTTCCCCAGCCAGTATAAAATATTATGATTTCTTCTTAGCTCCGCTGGAGCTAGTTTTATGCTACTGGTGCTAAGGAGATACCATAGTGGTTTACCCTGGCTGAGGATTAAAAGATTGGCCTGGAAACATAAGAGTTGGGGTTTTTTCTTTGCTCTACCAGCAAAAGACTAGCGTAAAACTAGCACTGATAAGAGTGAAGAAGAAATCCAATCTCTTTTGTTTCCATGGCAATATTCTTCTCCCAAGGCAGGGTAAACCAGTACGATATCTTTTTAGCTCCTTCTGCATAAAATTAGCACCAGTGGAACTAAGAAGAAATTGTAGTAGTTTATGCTGGCTGGAAAGGATTGCAATTGAAGCAAAATAGGCATGATTTCTTCTTAGCCCTGCCAGCGCTAATCTTACGCTGGTAGAGCAAAGAAGAAATCTGATCTCTTTTGTTGGGTAAATCACTACCGATTTATGCTGGGTGGGCCAAAAGGATTCCCATGGAAACAAAAGGGATCGTACGTCTTCTTGATTATGCCATGTGGCCCAGTTGACCTCGTGAGCTCGTCAAAAATTAAGTAAGTGAATGATGACAGGGGAGTGGGGTTGGGGAGCAATACCTAGAAGCAAAGATATTGACAAAGCAGGCCAATGTACTGTGGTCTGGGGCCTCTGAGTACTGACGGGCAAGATGGGAGGGAAATAGGTGGGTGGGTGTGCTGCAGCATCATTGCAGTTGTTCAAAGGCTGAAGGACCACAAGGGGGTCTCTTCAAATTTCAAGTTTGAAACAGATTCGTATTTAGCATTGGAGGCAGTGGTGTGTGGCTCCCAGTTTGCCCTGGTTCAGGAGAACAGGTAGTGGCGGCGGTGGGAGGCTTCGCCCACCCGCCCAGACGTCATCAAAAATGCTCTGCGCATGTGCATAACCTTCTGCACATGCACAGTAGTGCTATGTACTCACAAAGTGAGCGCCTGTGCCCTACCGATAGCGAACCAGTAGCGCCGGGATTTGAATCCCATTACTGATTGGGTGTGTGTGTTGTAACTTTGAACTTTTGTTGAATGGCCTGTCATACCTCAAGGATTACCTGTACTACTTTTTTTCACATCTTCTGCAACCCTTTTATTAACAATAAAACTTACACTTTCATTTGAATCTTACAGACAAAGATGCCAATATAACAACACTGGACAACAAGCAACATTGAAAAGCAAAGCAAATTGAAGCAGAAATAAAAAATAGTTCCCATTTCCTTCAGAAAGCCTATTGTGGGAAAAGCACAGAGTTCAAATCACAAGAGGATCCACACTGGAGATCAGCCATATAAATCCTCTGAATGTGGCAAAAGCTTCGGTCACAATAGCTCCCTTGTGATTCATAGAAGGATCCTCATAGTAGAGATGCCCTACAACTGCTCCCAATGTGGTAAATGCTTTCGCAAGCATGGCAACTTTGTGATACATCAGCGGACTCACACTAGGGAGAAACCATATGAATGTCCAGATTGTGGGAAAAGTTTTATTGCAAATTCCCACCTGGTGATACACCGGAGGACTCACACAGGAGAGAAACCCTTTGAATGTTCTGATTGTGGGAAACAATTCAATCGCAATTCCCACCTAGAGATACACAAGAGGACACACACAGGAGAAAAACCCTATGAATGCCCTGATTGTGGGAAAGGTTTCAGTCTCAATTCCAGCCTGGTGAAACACCAGAGGACTCACACAGGAGAGAAACCCTTTGAATGTTCTGATTGTGGGAAACAATTCAGTCAGAATTCCAGCCTGGTGAAACATCAGAGGACTCACACAGGAGAGAAACCCTTTGAATGTCCTGATTGTGGGAAAAGTTTCAGTCTCAATTCCAGCCTGTTGATACACCAGAGGACTCACACAGGAGAGAAACCATACGAGTGTCCAGATTGTGGGAAAAGTTTCAGTCACCATTTTAACCTGGTGAACCACCAGAGGATTCACACAGGGGAGAAACCATACAATTGTCCAGAGTGTGTGAAAAGTTTCAGTCAGAGTTCCAACCTTGTGGATCACATGAGGACTCACACAGGAGAGAAACCCTTTGAATGTCCTGATTGTGGGAAACATTTCAGTCAGAAATCCTCCTTGGTGAAACACCAGAGGACTCACACAGGAGAAAAACCTTTTGAATGTCCTGATTGTGGGAAAAACTTCAGTCTCAATTACAACCTGCTGATACACCAGAGGACACACACAGGAGAGAAACCATACAAGTGTCCAGATTGTGGGGAAAGTTTCATTTACCGTTCTATGCTGATGAAACACCAGAGCACTCACAAGGGAGAAAAACCATATGAGTGTCCAGATCAGGGGTGTCAAACTCAATTTAATTGAGGGACGCATCAGGGTTGTGGTTGATCTCGTGGGTGGTAGTGGCCAAAGTGTGTGTGGCTGGGGTGACGTCGCATGGCCAGCTTGACGTCTGTTGCATCATGGGGTGCCTCTGGCAGCCCAGGCAGGTGTGGGCAATTCATTGTCTCCAGCAGTGGAAGGCGAGACAATAGTGAGTGCCAAACCCTTGTTCTTGCCATCCCTCTCAGGCCAAGCAAAGGACCCCCAGATAGCAGCTCAGTCTGTCCAGAGCCCTGGGACCGCAAGTGCCCAGCCTGGCCCTCAAGCTCCCCTTGCACTGGGACCCCACAGTCCAGCCCCGCTTCCCCGAGTGGGTGCCTGGCTGTACTTACCTCCTCCTCAAAGCTGCTGCTGCTGTGCTCGCTCTCCTTGGGCACGTTGCTCATGGTGTATGCAGGAGGGCAAAGTCAGAGGGAGGGCCATTCCCTCTCCATGTGAGGAGACCCGGCTTTGTAACCAAAGCATCCTCACAAATAGGATGGGAGACCACCAGAAGATGTCAGGAGGAGGGGACAAGGGGATGGCGAAAGGGCAACTGGTGGCCAAGTGCTAACTGAGGACTTCCCTCAGAATTTGACTCCCTCTCATTATAATCTTTCCTTTTCCTTTCTTTTTTCCCCTTTTCTTCTTTTTGCTTCCCTCATTTTTTTCCTCTCTTCTTTCTTCCCCTATTTCCTTGTTTTCCCTTCCTTGGTCTCTTTCCTTCTTTTTCTTTGTCTTTCCTCTCCCTTCTTGGATGCTCAACTGCAAAAGGAGAAACATTTCTGGATGCCTCCTTGCCTTGTGATCAAATGCCACGTTTGCTAGTAGTTTGTGGCCAAAGACTGAGAATAAACCAAGCTCAGTTTTTCCCGTGCTTGCATCTAGTGGGAGAGTCCACAGACAACAGCAAAACTATCAAATTGTTGGTTGTGATAGTTGATCAGAGCTCCTCTGTTTTTTATGTATAACAGCTTTAGTGTTTAGGAACAGAGATAAATTAGTTGCTTTTCTATTAATACATAATCCTTAAAAGGGCTGTCCTGTAGGGAGCCTCCCATGGTCTAATTCAGACTGGAAACATAGCAAAGGAAAATATTTTCCCCACTCGGCTTTGTCCTGTTTTCCCCACTGGAAATGGTTGTTTGCAACACACAAGGAGGGGATATTTTCCTGAGAGCTCACAGTTCAAGAATACCAATGTTAACTTGGATTGCCCATAAAGTTCGGTCCGCGATAAAACAGAAGACAACATTGCTTTCTCCTTTGAACTGGGGCATCTCCAACCAAGTTGCCTCTCTCTCCTTCCTTCCTTCCTTCCCCCTTTCCTTTCTTTTTTTAACCTGCCAGAGGCTCCCTACAGACTTCCCATATTGACTTCAGCATGGTTTTTAGTTCACATTTCCCAGACGTGTATTTTTCTGTGTGTGTGTGTGCCCCTTGCAGCCCAGCCAGGGCTGTGATATTGGAAGGGGTGATAGCAGGACCATATTGCTGACGTATTTGTTGCATCCCCCTCTGTGGTGGCGATGCGAGAAAAAAATGTACAGTGGAAAATGTTTCATTTTTAAAAAATGCATTGTGTAAGAAGAATAATTTTGACAAGGAAAAATGGGTAGTGTCAGTATTGTTATTAGGGTGAGGCGAGATTTTCTGACTCTCCTGAAATTGCGAGCTGGGCAGCAAATAAGTTTATTACTAAATAAATTTAATAATAAAAAGTTAACTCTTGCTCAGTTGTAAGGTTTCCATACATATAGCAGGTTTTTAAAGCACTACAGTTGTCAACCTACTTGTACTCTGTCTCTTGTGCATTCTGCATCTCTAAATACCAATCTGTCTTCCTCAGCTTCCCTCTTCAGTGTAAATATAAATTTTCAATCGTACATCAGTCCGGCCACCCTGTGGCTGTGATGATGTGAAAGTAGTGCCTAAATTTAGGATAACTTAGAATAGGCAGCACAGAGAGGTAGTGCTTAGTTAATGACCCCTGAATGGCACTGAATGAGGGGGATTTATAACCAGTCCTCAAAGTTCCAACCATCCCTGAATCCCCTGAACACCTGATTGCAATCCAACATATGGCAATCCGTTCATACGACAAAACAACTAGACACAAGGACAGTTTTTCCCCCATGCCATCACTCTGCTAAACAATTCATTCCCACAACACTCTCTTATGCCCTCGGATGTCAAATCACATAGTAGGTCTGTATTACTATTATCCTTCTCATCTTTCTTATTATCTATTCCCTTAGCATCTTATGACTATAACTTTATTGTTTGTATGTTATGATTTATGTTTATTGCTTATTTAGTACCCTAATATGAGCCAGCAGTGTGCGGCGGCAGCCAAAAAAGCTAATACAATCCTTGGTGGTATATACAGAGGCATAGAATCAAAATCAGATGAAGTATTAGTACCGCTTTATAAAGCCTAATTAAGGCCACACCTGCAATACTACATCCAGTTTTGGTCACCACATTACAAAAAAGATGTTGAGACTTTGGAAAAAGTGCAAAGAAGAGCAACTAAGATGATTAAAGGCCTGGAGAATAAAACATACAGTATGAGGAATGGTTGCAGGATTTGGGTTTGGCTAATATAGAGAAAAGAAGGACTGGGATGGGGACGGACATGACAGCAGTATTCCAGAGGCTGCCACAAAAAAGGAAGGGTCAACTTATTTTCCAAAGTACCAGATGGCAGGCCAAGAAACAATGGTTAGAAACTAATCAAGGAGAGGAGCTATCAGGAATTAAGGAGAAACTTCCTAACAGTGAGAACAATTAACCAGTGGAACACTTGCCTTCAGAAGTTGTGGGTGCTTCATCACATCTTCTTTTTAAAAAGAAACTGACAATCACTTGTCTGAAATGGTATAAGGTCCCCTGCTTTAGCAGGGGTTGGACGAGAAGACCTCCAAGGTCCCTTCCAGCTCTATTCCGATTGATTGACTGATTGACTATCACCAAGAGTTGTATCTTATGATTTATGAGCATTATATTTTATGATCATGATTTATGATCAGTGTACATGATGTACACTGAGAGCTAGTGCACCAGAGACAAATTCCTTATGTGTCCAATCACACTTGGCCAATAAAGAATTCTATTCTGTCCTGTCCTGTCCTATCCAGTGGTGGGTTGCTACCGGCAACAGTGGTGGCGGGAGGCTCCACCCACCCGCCCGGACGTCATCAAATACAATCTGCGCATGTGCAGAAGCTGCTGGCTTCCCACAAGCAAGGTCAATGAAGAAGCCAGCAGGAAAGTTCAAAAGCCATTCATACTCCTGCCATATTCTCTCTTAAGGAGCACCCACAGCACCGGTTCTGCCCTTACTCCATAGTGCATATCTACCTGCCTAGCTATTACAGCAGACACTGGTGGGCACTCCTACAGCCGGCTGCTTGCAGAACAATAGCCAGTTATCTGTGAGGGTATTTGCCAGGGTATTTGCGAGACCGCCTGCTGCTACCGATAACCTCCCACCGGCCAATACGCTCTCACAGAGAGGGCCTCCTCAGGGTGCCGTCGATCAGGCAATGTCGGCTGGCGGCCCCCAGGGGGCGAGCCTTCTCTGTGGGGGCACCCGCCCTGTGGAATGAGCTGCCTCCTGGAATACGATTGATCCCGGACCTCCGGACCTTCCGTAAAGCCCTGAAGACGTTTTTATTCCATCAAGCTGGCCTAGCCTAAATGGTTTTTAATTGGGATTTTAAATTTTATGGATTTGGGGGTTTTAAATTGGGAAGCCAGTGATTTAATTCTTTTTAATTATCTTAACTTTTGTATTTGTATGTTTTTTAATTTTGGCTGTTCACCGCCCTGAGTCCCTTCTGGGAGAAGGGCGGTATATAAATTAAATAAATAATAATAATAATAATAATAATCTACTTGCCAGCCTGTTTGTCAATTGCCCTAGGTCGGATTTGTGACTTCCTGAGATTTACTTGTTGACTTTGCATATTAGAAACAGCAGGAAATTACAATGAAGTCCTTGCTTAATGACAGCAGCAAGGACTGTGGAAATTGCCTAAGTGATGTAGTCATGTGATACAGCTAGTCCTCAATTTACGACCACAATTGAGTCCAACATTTCTATTGCTAAGTGAGAAATTATTTAAGTGAGTTTTGCCTCATTTTACGACTTTTCTTCGCTTCGTTGTTAAGTGAATCACTGCACTTGTTAAATTAGAAACACGGTTGTTAAGTGAATTTGGCTTCCCCATTGACTTTGCTTGTCAGAAGGTTACAAACGGGAATCACATGACTCCAGGACACTGCAACCATCAAAAATATGAGTCAGTTGCCAAGCATCTGAATTTTGAACACATGACCATGGGGATGCTGTAATAGTTGTAAGTGTGAAAAGTCACTTTTCCAGTGCAGTTGTAACTTTGAACAGTCACTAAACGAACTGTTGTAAGCTGAGGACTACCTGAATTGCACTTTACTAATGATAAAGCCGAGGTGGCTCAGTGGTTAGGGTGCAGTACTGCAGCTACTTCAGCTGACTGCTAGTTCAGCAGATCAGCGGATCAAATCTCATCAACTCAAGGTTGACTCAGCCTTCCATCCTTCTGAGGTGGGTAAAATGAGGACCCAGATCAGGGGTGAAATCTAAATTTTTTTGCTACCGGTTCTGTGGGCGTGGCTTAATTAGTGGGCAGGGCTTGGTGGTAAGGTGACTGGGTGGGCGTGGCCAAGTCAATGTCACTTCTTTGCCCTTTTTTAACCTACACAACACAACTGGCTCACCCACAATGTAAAAGCAGCTGTGCTAGACCCAAAATGGCCCCTGCAACAAGCAGGAACCTCACACAGCCACAAAAAGCCCAAAAAACCAACTTTCACACTTTACACACGCAAAATTCCACATACAGCTTTGTGAGATTTTGTGTGTTTGTGCAGTTAGAGTGAAACACTACAGAAACACACTAAATCTCAGAAAGCTGCACAAATATTATTTTATTTTTATTTATTTTTATTTTTATATAAAAGCCGCTAAATTTAAAACTTCCTAAACTTTAAATGGCTAGGTCTAAAAAAAAGAACAACTAAAAAAAAAACCAATTGACTATTTTTTTTAAAGCTCCCAAAGGGGAAAAAAACTTACCCAATAGAACAGGGGTCTCCAACCTTGGCAACTTTAAGACTTGTGGACTTCAACTCCCAGAATTCCTCAGCCAGCTTTGCTGGGAGTTGAAGTCCACAAATCTTAAAGTTGCAGATAGAGTTGCTCACCGATGAGCTTGATTGCAGGCAGGGAGATTGCTGATGCAGTGGATTGCGTTGCGATCAGCAGCTAAGGTAAGCAAGCTGGAGGCTGGGGTGGGGGTGGGAGTGGGGTGGGGAGAAAAAAAAACTTGTTTTTCTTTTAAATGGGTCTGACAATCCAAGCTGAGTTGCCTGATTAGCAGAGCTAATTAGCAGATCGTCAGAGCTGGGATCCTCAGAGCTTGGCTGGTCAGAGCCATTTAAAAGAGAAAAAAGGCTCTGATGATCGCGCGGCTCAGCTGGGCATGGGGGGGCGGGGTCAGGGAGTTTTGCTACCGGTTCTCCGAACTGCCTGCCGCCATCGCTACCTTCTCGCCCGAGCCGGATCGAACCGGGAGCATTTCACCCCTGACCCAGATTGTTAGGGAGCAATATGCTATATAGCAGTGGTCCCCAACCCCCGGTCCGCGGACCGGTGCCGGGCCGTGGAGTACCTGGCACCGGGCCGCGCAGCGGCCGGGGGACATGAACGCTGCAGCGCAAAGGCTCCTGGGCCGTGCGCAATGGGCCGTGCGCAAAAGCTCCTGGGCCGTGCCCCCACCCCTGCGCGCGCTCAGCGGGCCGCGGCGATAAAAAGGTTGGTGACCACTGCTATATAGTATACTGTCTTTGGTGTAAGCCGCCCAGAGTCCTTGGAGAGTGGGCGGCATAGAAATATGACTAATAAATAAATAATAAATAAATAAATAAAGGTTTTCCCTGTTCAGTCATTTCTGACTGTAGGGGACGATGCTCATCTCCATTTCTTAGCCGGGGGAGCCAATGTTGTCCGAAGATGCTTCTGTATCCTTGTGGCCAATATGACTATAGACTGATGAGTGGTTCTTAAGAGAATTTGGCTTTCCTGTTGACTTTGCTTGTCAGTAGGTCACAAAAGGGAATCACATGATCCCAGGGTACTGTGACCGTCATAAATATGAACCAGTTGCCAAGCGTCTGAATTTTAACCACATGACCATGGAGATGCTGCAAAGGTTGTAACTGTGAAAAACAGTCATAAGTCACATTTTCCAGTGCCGTTGTAACTTTCAACGGTCACTAAATGAACTGTTGTAAGTCAAGGTCTACCTGTATTTATTGTCATGCATACTGCTGGAAAGTCCTTTGCACCTGGATCCAGTTTAAACAGACGTTCTCAAAACCAGTTCTGAACACTTTTTTGGGTTTACAGTTATAACAAAGGCTAACTAAAGAGAAATTGTTCCAAAATGGAATCGTGATTGCAAATACATTTTTTGTTCCGTGTTGCTTTAAATCTGGGCTGTAAAACGCTGTTCTTGGCCCTTGAATTCTGCATGAGGAAGCAGGGTTGGTTGGGAGATCTTTTTACAATCAGGTTGGTGAAACTTTCCAAGAAGCTGAACGGGTTAAAAGCACAAAGTTCAGCAGCTAGAGTAGATCCAGACATGGAGACTCCTCTTACTGAATTCCTTTTCCTGTAGCTCCTTTGGATAAACCTTTTAGTTTGGTGTTGCCGTTCTTGAATTTTGCTGGGCGAATCTCAACAGTTCGGAAAGAGTAAGTTAAATTTGAAACTTTCAGAAAATGATCAGATCAGAAAATAAGAAATCCAGGAAGGGGGAGTGGGGGGGGGAGGTTAAAGGGAAATTATCCTTGAGTAAATAATTTCTTTTTAAAGAAAGCATAGCATGTTCAAGCATAGCTCACAGCTCCGCAATCCAGGTGCGGGGAAAGGCATAAAAGGAGGGCGCGGAGGCGTCACAGGTGGGGAGAACAAAATGACAAAAAGAGCATCGGGGCTATTGAGTTGCAAGCGGCGTCTCTTCCTTCGATGAATCGTGACTCGATCCCGCGGAGATTCGAAAGGGGCGGGGCACAATCTTAAATCTGAAGATGGGGGTAACATTTTTGAACTTGCATTGGGAATGGGTGCTGTAAAACTCTTATATGGGGAGGTGGTTAGAGGTTAAGTTACGTGCAACTGCATTACTGAAACTATTAATTGAAAGGGGAAAAAAAGAAAAGTTGCAGACTGGGAAGGACCTGCGAAATGTAAACTTTGCAGAAGAGGAAATCAAAAAATGCTTGATCAGTGTAAATTATGCTGACTGGGGAACTCTGGCAGTTGAAGCCTCCACATCTTTACATTGCTAAGAATATAGAATCATGGGGCTGGAACGGACCTTGAAGGTCTTCTAGTCTAACTCCCTGCCCAAGGCAGGGGACCTTATACCATCAAATGGTTGTCCAATCTATTTTTGATAATCTCCAGTGATGGAACACCCACAACTCCCAAGAGGCAAGATATTCCATTGATTAATTCTTCTCACCATCAGAAAATTTCTCCTTACTTCTAGGGTGGATCTCTCTTTGACAAGCTTCCACCCATTACTTCTTGTCCTACCCTCTGGTGCCCTCGAGAATAAGTCAATCCTCTCTTCTTTGTGACAGATCCTCCAGTGTATTGGAAGAGGAGCTATCACGTCCCCCTTAACCCTTCTCTTTTAGTCTAGGATATCCCATGCTCTGCCTCCTGCCCCTTGGTTTCCCCAAAGCACTATGGGCCTTCTCCATACTCCACCCCATCACCATTTGCTGACTTACATTTTGATGAGCTCAGGAAGTCAGAGTAGAGAAGGCCATTCCCTCAGTGGGCCACGTGGCACAATCAAGAAGAAAAAATCCAATCTCTTTTGTTTCCATGGCAATCCTTTTGCCTCAGCCAGCCTAAACTACTATGATTTCTTCTTAGCTCTGCCGGTGCTAGTTTTATACTGCTGGCGGTAAGAAGATATCATAGTGGTTTACCCTGGCTGTGGAGGGGAAAGGACTGGCATGGAAACAAAAGTGATGGGGTTTCTTCTTTGCTCTACCAGCAAAAGACTAGAGGAAAACTAGTGCTGATAGAATGAAGAAGAAATCCAATCTCTTTTGTTTCTATGGCAACATTCTCCCCCACAGCCGGGGTAAACCACTACGATCTCTTTTTAGCGCTGCCACCATAAAATTACTGCTGGTGGAACTAAGAAGAAATCGTAGGAGCTTATGCTGGCTGGAAAGGATTGCAATGGAAGCAAAATGGACATGATTTCTCCTTAGCACCACCAGTGCTAGTTTTATGCTAGTCTTACGCTGGTTGAGCAAAGAAGAAATCTCATCTTTTTTACTTCCATGGGAATCCTTTCCTCCCCAGGCAAGGTAAATCACTACCAATTTATGCTGGGTGAGGTGAAAGGATTGCCATGGAAACAAAAGAGATCGTAAATCTTCTTGATTCTGCCACGTAGCTCAGTTGACTTTTTGAGCTTGTCAAAAATTAAGTAAGTGAATGAAGAAGGGGAGTGGGGTTGGAGAGCAATACCTGGAAGCAAAGTTATTGGCAAAGCAGGCCAATGTGGGGCCTCTGAGGACTGACTGGGCAAGATGTTTGGGAAATAGGGGGGTGGGTATGCTGCAGCCTCTCTGCAGCTGTTCGATGGACAATTGGGAGGGGGCCCTGCAAAATTTCAACTTTGAAACAGATTCGTATTTAGCATTGGGTGTGTGGTTGTAGTAACTTTGAACATTTGTTGAATGGCCTGTTTTACCTCAAGGATTACCTGTACTACTTTTTTTCACATCTTCTGTAATCTTTTTATAAACAATAAAACTTACACTTTCATTTGAATCTTACAGACAAAGATGCCAATATAACAACACTGGACAACCGAGAATAAGAAGCAACATTGAAAAGCAAAGCAAATTGAAGCAGAAATAAAAAAATATTTTCCATTTCCTTCAGAAAGTTTATTGTGGAAAAAGTACAGAGTTCAAATCACAAGAGGATCCACACTGGAGATCAGCCATATAAATCCTCTGAATGTGGCAAAAGCTTTGGTCAGAATAGCTCCCTTGTGATTCATAGAAGTATCCACATAGGACAGATGACCTACAACTGCTCCCAATGTGGTAAATGCTTTCGCAAGCATGACAACTTTGTGATACATCAGCAGACTCACACCAGGGAGAAGCCATACAAGTGTCCAGATTGTGGGAAAAGTTTCACTGCAAATTCCCACCTGGTGATACACCAGAGGACTCACAAAGGAGAGAAACCCTTTGAATGTCCTGCATGTGGGAAAAGCTTCAGTCAAAATTCACACCTGGTGATACACCAGAGGACTCACACAAGAGAGAAACCCTTTGAATGTCCTGAGTGTGGGAAAAGTTTCAGTCAGAATTCCCACCTGGTGATACACCAGAGGACTCACACAAGAGAGAAACCCTTTGAATGTCCTGATTGTGGGAAAGGTTTCAGTGTCAATTCCAGCCTGCTGATACACCAGAGGATTCACACAGAAGAGAAACCCTTCGAATGTCCTGAGTGTGGGAAAAGTTTCAGTCAGAGTTCCCACCTCATTGGCCACCAGAGGACTCACACAGGAGAGAAACCCTTCGAATGTCCTGAGTGTGGGAAAAGTTTCAGTCAGAGTTCCCACCTCATTGGCCACCAGAGGACTCACACAGGAGAGAAACCCTTCGAATGTCCTGAGTGTGGGAAAAGTTTCAGTCAGAGTTCCCACCTCATTGGCCACCAGAGGACTCACACAGGAGAGAAACCCTTCGAATGTCCTGAGTGTGGGAAAAGTTTCAGTCAGAGTTCCCACCTCATTGGCCACCAGAGGACTCACACAGGAGAGAAACCCTTTGAATGTCCTGATTGTGGAGAAAGTTTCATTGCAAATTCCCACCTGGTTAAACACCAGAGAATTCACACAGGGGAGAAACCCTTTGAATGTCCTGAATGTGGGAAAAATTTCAGTCGGAATGACCACCTAGTGATACACCAGAGGATTCACACAGGAGAGAAACCCTTCAAATGTCCTGAGTGTGGGAAAAGTTTCAGTCAGAATTCCAGCCTGATGAAACACCAGAGGACTCACACAGGAGAGAAACCGTTGGAATGTCCTGAATGTGGGAAAAGTTTCAGTCTCAATTCCTACTTGGTGATACGCCAGAGGACTCACACAGAAGAGAAGCTGTATGAGTGTCCGGATTGTTGGAAAGATTTCAGTATTTTGTCTAACCTTTACACACAGGAGAGAAGCCATCTTGTGAACAATGCTTTAGGTGTAAATCATCTCTGAGTGCTCACAAGAAAATGCATGAGGCAAATATTGAACAGTTTAGAGAAAACTTGAAATTCATTTCTGATCTCCCATTTGGAGTATAGATGAGAAATTGATGATTTAAATTTTGGCCTGATTCTTTTTAGTCAAGAGATCTCAGGATTAGATCTGTAGATGGAGAGAGAAAAATAGAAAATATTAATTTGATAAAGGCTAACTACCTGTTTCTGATTATCAGCAGTACTTTCTGCAAACAGGCCTTTGGGTGGTGTTTTTTGTATTTTGATTATGGAATTCCGACATGTGGAGTTTCAGCCTTCTATGTTGGTGAACTCCAGATTTTGAACCTCACAATTTCCCAGCCAGCATACAAGTAATCCTCGAGATACAACTGTAACGGGAACTGACTATTATGGATGCATTTAGCAATGGCGACAGTGCTTTGGTTAACTAACCCCATCCCATGCTGTCTGTTATGCAGCTATAAAATGAATGTGCCAGTTGCTAAATAGGACACTGGCTACCTCAGTGTTCAGGAAAACTCTCGGAGGCTTAGCCCAGGCCCAGGCTTCCCCGCTTCCCCCCAGGCATCCTTAGGCCTCCTCCACCCCCCAAGACACCTATTACTCTGGTTCCCAACTCTTGGTTCCCCTAAGGCAGGGGTGAAATGCTACAGGTTTCCTCCAGTTCGGGGGAAGCCCTCCCCCCCCAGCCCTTCCCACAGAGTATCCCCCAGGCTTTTTCCCACTCCCACTGGCTCCCTGCAGGCCTTAGGCCATTCTGTCACGGGGCCTTCCAATTACGATTACACCTTGCAGCAGCTGTTAAACGAGACTGCTTTGCTTAATTGCAGACAGGCTTTCCTTCCAAAGGCCTCCCGTAGGTCTCCCCAGGCCTCTCTGTCCCTCACAGAGTCTCCCGAGGCCTCTTCTGTCTCAGGGCCAAAATGGCGGCTGCTTCTGGGTCGTTGTCGTGCAGGAGAGGGAGAAATTGCTCTGTTTCGCTACCTTAACACTGTGCAGAAAGCCTTAAGGAATTGTGGGTGCACTGAAAATGATGGCTGCTTCCATGAGATCTTGAAAATTTACCTGTGAAATAGGTGATGGGCTTGTGGGGAGTAGGCCCGAGGCCCAGTGAAAAAAAGCAGTGTAACATTTCAAATGAAAAGCTTTTCTGCCTTGCAGATGAACCTGGTGGAGAAGAGCTGTAGGAATATTGAATTGAGGAGAAAAGGGATCGTGGCTTTAATCACAAGATCTCCAGGTTTATTAGCAACTCCTGCTGTGATCTCCTCTTCTTGGAAATGCCTGCTTGTTACCCTTTGATGGCTGCTGGGTGACAGCAGCACCATATTGCTGACGTACATGTTGCATCCCCCTTTGAGTTGGTGATATGAGGGGAAAAATGTACAATGGAAAATGTTTCATTTTAAAAAACGAATTGTGTAAGAACAATACTTTTGACAAGGAAAAAATGGGTAGTGTCAGTATTGCTATGAACAGTTGGGTAAGGCAGGATGCTCAGACTTGCCTCAAACTGTGAGATAGGCAGCGAATAAATTTATTAATCAATAAATTTAATAATAAAAAGGTAACATAAACATCTTTTGTCAACTTTCGCTCAGTTGCAAGGTCTCCACACATATAGTAGTTTCTAACAAACTACCATTGTTCTTCTTGTGCATTCTGTATCTCTACGACCGATCTGTCTTCCTCAGCTTCCCTTCCCTCCTCAATGTAAAATGAAAATTTCCTTTTAATCTGTTCTTAATGTTTGTATTATGTGTTTTTATCTGGCTGTCCACCGCCCTGAGTCCCCAGGGAGAAGGGCGGTATATAAATTTGAAGTAAAATAAAATAAAAAATAAAATGTAAACTTAAATTTCCAATTTCAATTGTACACCAGTACAGCCACTCTTTGTGGCATTTTTCAAGTATCACTAGACAGATTTCAAGGTTTTTTTTAAAATTAGTATTATTATGAGGGGTGCACTTCCTTATCCATAAGGTCTCTCCTTTTTTTATTTTTACTATAGTAATAATGAAATGTAAGGTCCCAAAACACACGAGTCACCAGAATGCCAAAGAGAGAGACTCAAGACGAGGCTTGCAAAAAAGCAGATTTTATTTATGGCCAAAAACAAAATACTGGGTGGAACTATATTCAGAACATACAGATACAATGCATGCGAGTAAATAGCCACACCTTGGGAAAGGTATGGCGTCCTTTTATACCCTCAGAGACGTCAGTTTAGTACCCAATTCTGGCCTCCTAATTTAGGTTTGTGTATTCCTTGTTGCCCTGCAAGGGGGAATAGAAACTTCCCAATTAGTCATCCTTGAGCATTTCTTTGTTTACTCAATTGGCCACTTTGGCCCCCTGGCTCTGGAAAGCAGGAGTTTATCCAGATCAAACATAAATTAGGGCTGAGGTGTAAATTATCCCTTTGTTGATGGCTGTAGTTTCAACTGAGATATGTACCATGCTTTTAGATAGATCCTATTTTTATCAATAGCCGCACGAAAAAGTGCTGCTGAATTTTGTCCAAACCAGTCCCTTAGATTTTGAAGCCATGATGTTCTTCTTCTGCCTGGACATAATTTGCCTTCAATCCTTCCCCAGAGGATTAAATGAAGTGTGCCGTATTTTTCTGGATGTCGCATTACAAGTACGAAATATCCCAACTTTTGTTTTTTTAATTTTAATGGTTTTTTTTAATGTTATAAATAGGTGACTCAAAAGATTAGTCAGATTAGCATTGATCCTCATTACTTATTTTCCAAGAGTGTGTCATCAACATTTCATCAAAAAAGGACTACGGGATAATGTATAGGAATTAATGGCTAAAGGTAAAATTTCATGTTCATAGATATTCCAGAGGAAAAATTGCAGACCACAGGAACCATGTTCACCTTTAACATTTGGAACTAACCACAGATACATACAAACTTTTCAAATTGTTATTTCCTCCCAGGGTTACCTTCTCTTTTCCATTACCTGATTTGGGAGTCGGGGTGGGGAGAGCGTATCACGTTTTTACAAAAAGAATACAGAGTTAGTTTTCTTTTTTCTTCTTTAGTCTTTAGAATTGCTTTGTCTGTTTTAACCGTATAATCAATTGTGAAAGTTATTTTCAAGTTTCCCACAACTATGATTGATATTTTGTTAACAGCTGGAGAAAGTAGTGCCTAAATTTATGATAACTTAGAATAGGCAACACAGAGAAGTAGTGGTAATTATATAGTTGAGTACTACCTGCATTGCACTTTACTAAAGATAAAGGTTTCCCCTGTTCAGTCATTTGTGACTCTGGGGGATGATGCTCATCTCTGTTTTTTAGCCAAGGGAGCCAACGTTGTCTGAAGATGCTTCTGTGGCCTTGTGGCCAATATGACTATATGCTTTTGTGCATGGAATACTACCTTCCCACCAAAGTGGTACCTATTTATCTACTCGCATTTGCAAACTTTTGAACTCTTCAAAAGATGGACAGGAGCTGGAGCAAGTAACGGGAGCTCAACCTGTCATGTGGTGCTCGGATTTCAAACCCAGGCTGACAGCTTTCCAACTGACAAATTGAGTTGTTTTGCTGCACAACAATCCTTGGTTTATGTGCAAATGCACAATCCCCAAACCTTGTCAGGTGTGTCAGAAGAGACTCTTGCTGCAAGAAAACACAGTCTTTTTCCACCAGGCAAAATTTCAGGTAGTCCTTGACTTATGACCACAATTGAGCCCAAAAGTTGCATTGTTAGGTGAGACATTTGTTAAGTGAGTTATATCCCATCTTATGACCTTCCTTGCCACTGTGAATCATTGCAGTTGATAATTTAGTAATATGGTTGTTAAGTGCAAAAAGGGGTTCACCTGAACGTGGGACACAGCAATGGTCATAAGTATGAACCAGTTGCCAAGCATCTGGATTTTGATCACTGTTCATAGGGATGCTACCATGGTTGTAAGTGTGAAAAATGGTCATAAGCCACTTTTTTCAGTGTCATCCTAACTTTGAACAGTCAGTAAATGAGCTTGTAAGTGGAAGCTGCCTGTATTAGCTTAGTTCCTTTCCAGATACACTGTTAAGATCTTAACACCTGGGTAGCTTTTCAACAACCAGGATTAAACCAACATTGGAAATGCAGGTAATCCTTGATTTACAACTGTAATTTAGCCTGCAATTACAGTCCTAAGTCATGATGGTCATTAATGGGTCACCACACAATGTGCCCAATTCTACAACCTATTTGGTGGCAGTTGTTAAGCGCATGCAACAATTGTAAAACAAACAGCTTGACTAGGTGGCTCAGTGGCTAAGACACTGAGCTTGTCGATTAGAAAGGCTGGCAGTTCGGTGGTTCAAATCCCTAGCATAGGTCTCCTGTGTAAGCAGGGGGTTGGACTAGATGACCTCCAAGGTCCCTTCCAATTTTGTTACTGTTACTGAGTGGTCAGTGGGGCACTTGAGTTTACTTCTGCATACACCTTTTTTTGGTGACTCATAGATTCCCTACCCAGTTGATTCAATTTCATTCAAACACTGCAGTTGTTAAGTGAATGCTACAATCACTAAGCAAACCCATTGTTCACTAGGGATATAAGCATGGGTTTCTGGCAAAAATGTAAATCATGGTCATGTGACTGCAGGATGCTATGAAAACTGCAGGCTGGTTGCCAAGCACCCAAAATGTCATGTGACCTTGGGTGGAGCCCCTCCGCCCCCAGTCCTCAGAAGTTCAAATCTGGGTCATAAGTTGTTTTTTGAATGGTTGCTAAATGGCTGGTCGTAAGACGAGGACTATCTGTAAGTCACAGGCTTGGTGTTGTCGTAGTTCTGTGTCTCGGACAAAAAGTAACAGAGGGAGAATTATTAAAAAAAAATCCAACCTACAATTAAGAAGAAATTTTCAGCAAGAACAATTAATCAGTGGAACAAATTGCCTCTCAACCTGTGGTTGTTCCATCAGTGGAGGCTTTTAAGAGGAGACTGGAGAGCCATTTGACTGGGATGATATAGGTTCTCCTGCTTGGAGAGTTGGTCCCTTCCAACTCTTACTCTGTAATTCTGTAAGAACTTCATGAACCTTTAGGGCTCAGCATGTAGCTCATCTTCAGAAGCTTAAGTAGCTTCACATTTCACTCCTTTACTTGGCTCTGTTGCAAAGAGGTTGCTAGGAGTCTAAAACAACTTGATAGCATATAATCAGTGACAACATCTTGCAAACGCCTTAGGCAGAGACGGGACAAGCGTGTATTTTCGCCTTCTGTCGAGAGATGGCGGTCAATTCTGCAAAGCCGTCAATACAGTAGCTGCATCTGCGCTTGATCCTTAAAGGAGTTAAAACCATCAAGTACTGTATTGCTAGAAAGGAATGAGGAAGAAGAGAAGCACTGAGGAACTTCCTGTACCGGATCCCTCATGGGTGGAAGGTGGCTTGCAGAGCGGCTTTTGGGCTCTTCTAAAAGTTGAAGCATCAGCTGGAAGGTGAGTTGAGGGCAAGTTGGAGGAGAGGCCAGAAGCCAGTTGGGCTATTTGGTTTGGATGCTGCCAACTGATGCACATTTATGATGGTCACAACATCCCACCATCATGATCCCCATTTTTGACCTTCCCAGCTTGTTTCTCATAGGCAAAGTTAGTGAGGATGATGACGGCAAGAAATTGCAAGTGACAGTCATGTGAAACTGCCTTTAACAACCCACAGTGGTTTGCTTAACAACTCCAGAGGAACAGATGTAAGTTGGCAGTTATGTGACATCATGCTTCATGATCGGGCTGCTTAGTGACACAGATCCCAGTCCCAAATGTGAGGACTCCTTGAAAGGGGATGTCACCAGAGGAATTGTGGACAGGAGGACAGTATTTTCTTATTTGGAGCTGAGGACTTCCATCGGTATAACTGGTGTTTCAAATTTTCCAGAGGCTTTAGGCATCATTTCATCAGTTAAAGCCCCCACATCTCTAAATTTAGCTCAGAAGGTTTAATTGTAACCATTTTGGGACATTTTTCAGGCTGAAAACATGGATTTTTCACATATATACATTTGTAGGTGTAAATGTAATTCTCTCTGCAGTTGGATAATCTATCCCCAGTGCTTCTAGATATTCAGTCATGTGAAAAACAAAGTACACCCTCTTTGAGTTGTATGGTTTTATGTATCAGGACATACTAAAAATCATCTGGTCTGTACACTCTTAAAAGTAGGTGAATACAACTTCAGATGAACAACAACACATGACATATTACATCACGTAACCATTAGTGGTGGGTTTCACTTACCTTTGCTAGTGGTTCATGCACGTGCACCACTTCTGCGCATGCACAGAGCATATTTGATGATGTCCGGGCGGATGGGTGGAGCCTCCTGCCACGCTACTACTGGTTCAACTGAACCGGGCCGAACCGGTAGCAACCCACCACTGGTCACCATGTATTTTACAAAAGGAAAGCCAAAATGGAGGAGCCACGTGTGAAAACTAACACCCTATGATTCAATATCTTATAGAGCCACCTTTAGCAGCAATAACTTCAAGGAATTGTTTTCTGTATGACCAAAAACAGTCTCTTGCTTTGTTGTGGAGAAATTTTGGCCCACTCTTCTTTACAACATTGTTTCAGTTCATTGAGGTTTGTGGGCATTTGTTTATGCCCACCTCTCGAGAGGTCCCACCGCAGCATTTCAATTGGGGTTTGTTATTGCAAACCTTGAGATGGGATTTCTTCTTTGCTCTACCAGCGTAAGACTAGTGAAGAGCTAGCACTGATAGAGCAAAGAAGACATCTGATCTCTTGTTTCAATGACAATCCTTTCCTCCCCAGCCAGTGTAAATGACGACAAAATCTTCTTAGATCTCTTCACCAGCATAAAACTAGTGCCGGTGTAGCTAAGAAGAAATCGTAGTAGTTTATGCTGACTGGAAAGAAAAGGATTGCAACGGAAGCAAAATAGGCCTGATTTCTTCTTAGCCCCGCTAGCACTAGCTTTACATTAGTGTTGTGCTGGTAGAGCAAAGGCGAAATCTCATCTCTTTTGCTTCCATGGCAATCCTTTCCTCCTCAGCCAGGGTAAATCACTAACGATTTATGCTGGCTGGAGTGAAAGGATTGCCATGGAAAGAAAAGAGTTTATATTTCTTCTTGATTATGCCACGTGGCCCAGCTGACTTCCTGAGCTCGTCAGAAATTTCGTAAGTGAATGATGATGGGGAGTGGGGTTGGGGAGGAATGCATAGTATATTGCAAAGCAGGCCAACATACTCGGGTCTGGGGATTGTGAGGACTGACTGGGCAAGATGGAAGGGAAATTCCATCTTGCCAGGGCCTGGTGGCTCAGCAGACTAAAAGCATTGTGATTAACACCAGCTGTCTGCAATTACTGTAAGTTCGAATCTCGCCAGGCTCAAGGTTGACTCAGCCTTCCATCCTTTCTAAGGTAGGTAAAATGAGGACCCAGTTTGTGGGGGCAATAAGCTGACTTTGTATAAATATACAAAAGTATGAAGGCTATTACTTAATGCATTGTAAGCCGCCCTGAGTCTCCGGAGAAGGGCGGCATATAAATCAAATTTTTTAAAAAAATAGGTGGGTGGGTATGCTGCAGCATCTCTGCAGTGAAGGAGTCAAGGACTCCCGGCGTGGGAGACGCTGCAAAAATTCAACTTTGGAGCAGATTCGTATTTAGCATTTGGGGAACTGTTGTAACTTCAGAAATTCGTTGAATGGCCTGTCGTACCTAAAGGATTACCTGTACTTTTTTTCACATCTTCTGCAACCCTTTCATAAACAATAAAACTTACACTTTCTTTTGAATCTTACAGACAAAGATGATGCCAACATAAACACACTGGACAACTGAGAATAACAAGGAACACTGAAAAGCAAAGCAAATTGAAGCAGAAATAAAAATATGTTCTATTTCCTTCAGAAAGCTGCAGAATTCATCTACTTCATCAACAGGAAAGAGACAGAAAAGAGAAAATCATGAAGAGATTTGCAGCTGGAAAAAGTAGATTATATAGAATTTAAGAATACGTTACTTGAAAAGGTCAAAGGAGATCATTTTTCCATTCAGAAAAAGAGGGAAATACCTGGAAGGCAGTGGGGAAGAAAATGTCAATTGGATAGTCACATATGGCAGCCAGTAATGCAGGCACCAACAAAATAAGGAATCACACATATTTTTGATCTCCTCAAGAATGTCAGTGATGGAAAAGCTCCATAGATGTGCCTATTGTGGGAAAAGTAAACAGTTCATATCACAAGAGGATCCACACTGAACAAAAGCCATATAAATACTCTGAATGTGGCAAAACTTTAGTCAGAATAGCTCCCTTGCGATTCACAGACGGATCCTCATAGTAGAGATGCCCTACAACTGCTCCCAATGTGGTAAATGCTTTTGCAAGCATGGCAACTTTGTGATACATCAGAGGACTCACACCAGGGAGAAACCATATGAGTGTCCAGATTGTGGGAAACGTTTCACAGCAAATTCCCACCTGGTGAACCACCAGAGGACTCACACAGGAGAGAAACCCTTTGAATGTCCTGATTGTGGGAAAGGTTTCAGTTTCAATTCCAGCCTGGTGAACCACCAGAGGACTCACACAAGAGAGAAACCCTTTGAATGTCCTGATTGTGGGAAACGTTTCAGTGAGAATTCCAGTCTGGTGAACCACCAGAGGACTCACACAAGAGAGAAACCCTTTGAATGTCCTGATTGTGGGAAAGGTTTCAGTGTCAATTCCATCCTGCTGATACACCAGAGGACTCACACAGGAGAGAAACCCTTTGAATGTCCTGATTGTGGGAAACATTTCAGTGTCAGTTCCAACCTGCTGATACACCAGAGAACTCACACAGGAGAGAAACCCTTTGAATGTCCTGAGTGTGGGAAACGTTTCAGTGTCAATTCCCGCCTGCTGATACACCAGAGAATTCACACAGGAGAGAAGCCCTTTGAATGTCCTGAATGTGGGAAAAGCTTCACTCAGACTTCCAGCCTGGTGAAACACCAGAGGACTCACACAGGAGAGAAACCCTTTGAATGTCCTGATTGTGGGAAATGTTTCAGTGAGAATTCCAGCCTGGTGAAACACCAGAGGACTCACACAGGAGAGAAACCCTTTGAATGTCCTGATTGTGGGAAAGGTTTCAGTGTCAATTCCAGCCTGCTGATACACCAGAGAACTCACACAGGAGAGAAACCCTTTGAATGTCCTGATTGTGGAAAAGGTTTCAGTGTCAATTCCATCCTGCTGATACACCAGAGAACTCACACAGGAGAGAAGCCCTTTGAATGTCCTGAATGTGGAAAAAGCTTCACTCAGAATTCGAACCTGGTGAAACACCAGAGGACTCACACAAGAGAGAAACAGTTTGAATGTCCTCATTGTGGGGAACGTTTCAGTCAGAATTCCAACCTGGTGAAACACCAGAGGACTCACACAGGAGAGAAACCCTTTGAATGTCCTGAGTGTGGGAAAGGTTTCAATGTCAATTCCCACCTGCTGATACACCAGAGAACTCACACAGGAGAGAAACCCTTTGAATGTCCTGTTTGTGGAAAAGGTTTCAGTGTCAATTCCCACCTGCTGATACACCAGAGAACTCACACAGGAGAGAAGCCCTTTGAATGTCCTGAATGTGGGAAAAGCTTCACTCAGAATTCCAACCTGGTGAAACACCAGAGGACTCACACAGGAGAGAAACCCTTTGAATGTCCTGATTGTGGGAAAGGTTTCAGGGAGAATTCCAACCTGGTGAAACACCAGCGGACTCACACAAGAGAAAAACCCTTTGAATGTCCTGATTGTGGGAAAGGTTTCAGTGTCAATTCCCGCCTGCTGATACACCAGAGAACTCACACAGGAGAGAAGCCCTTTGAATGTCCTGAATGTGGGAAAAGCTTCACTCAGACTTCCAGCCTGGTGAAACACCAGAGGACTCACACAGGAGAGAAACCCTTTGAATGTCCTGATTGTGGGAAAGGTTTCAGTCACAATTCCCACCTGCTAATACACCAGAGAACTCACACAGGTGAGAAGCCCTTTGAATGTCCTGAATGTGGGAAAAGCTTCAGTCAGAATTCCTACCTGGTGATACACCAGAGGACTCACACAGGAGAGAAACCCTTTGAATGTCCTGATTGTGGGAAATGTTTCAGTCAGAATTCCAACCTGGTGAAACACCAGAGGACTCACACAGGAGAGAAACCCTTTGAATGTCCTGATTGTGGGAAACATTTCAGACAGAATTTCCACCTCATTGGCCACCAGAGGACTCACACAGGAGAGAAACCCTTTTAATGTCCTGATTGTGGGAAAAGTTTCAGTGTCAATTCCTACCTGGTGATATACCAGAGGACTCACACAAAAGAAAACCATACGAGTCTTCGGATTGTTGGAAAGATTTCAGTATTTCGTCTAACCTTTACACACAGGAGAGAAACCTTTCCAATGTCCATTTTGTGAACAATGTTTTAGGCATAAATCATCTCTGATTACTCACAAGAAAATGCATGAGGCAAATATTGAACAGTTTAGAGAAAGTTTGAAATTCATTTCTGATCTCCCATTCTGAGTATAGATGAGAAATTGATTATTTAAATTCTGGACTGATTCTTTTTAGTCAAGAGATCTCAGGATTAGACTTGTAGGTGGGGAGAGAAAAATGGAAAGTATTAGTTTGAGAAAGGCTAACTACCTGTTTCTGATTATCAGCAGTACTTTCTGCAAACAGGCCTTTGGGTGGTGTTTTTTGTATTTTGATTATGAAATTCCGATGTGGAGTTTCAGCCTTCTATGTTGGTGAACTCCAGATTTTGAACCTCACAATTTCCCAGCCAGCATACAAGTAATACTCGAGATACAACTGTGATGAGAACCAACTATTATAAATTCATTTAGCAATGGCAATAGTGCTTTGGTTAACTAACCCCATCCCATGCTGTCTGTTATGCAGCTATTAAATGAATGTGCAAGTTGCTAAATAGGACACTGGCTACCTCAGTGTTCGGGAAAACTCTCAGAGGCTTAGCCCAGGCCCAGGCTTGCCCACTTCCCACCAGGCATCCCTAGGCCTCCTCCACCCTCACCCCCAAGACACGTATGGTTCCCCCAATGTAGGGGTGAAATGCTACAGGTTTCCTCCGGTTCGGAGGAAGCCCCCCCCCACAAGCCTTCCCACAGAGTAACCCCCTAGGCCTTTTCCCACTCCCACTGGCTCCCTGCAGGCCTTAGGCCATTCTGTCACGGGGCCTTCCAATTACGATTACACCTTGCAGCAGCTGTTTAACGAGACTGCTTTGCTTAATTGCAGACTTAGGCTTTCCTTCCAAAGGCTTCCCGTAACCCATCTCTTAGGTCTCCCCAGGACATTCCTTCCCTCCCAGAGTCTCCCCAGGCCTCTTTCATAAAACAGGGTCCCTGTAGTCCTTAGGTCGAATTCCAACCAGGCCTCATAGCGTCCTCCTCTTTATCTTTTGAAGACATCTGAACCTTATATTGGGGAAGGAGGGTAGGACGGAAATCTCTCAGCTGTATGACTATTTCATGGAAGCAGCCGTTATTTTTACTGTGCCTGGGATTCATCGCTGGGCCCTGAGGTGGATTTGTGGAAGTGGCTGCCATTTTGCCACAACTGCCTCAGGACCAAAATGGCGGCTGCTTCTGGGTCATTGTCATGCAGGAGAGGGAGAAACTGCTCTGTTTCGCTACCTTAACACTGTGCAGAAAGCCTTAAGGAATTGTGGGTGCACTGAAAATGATGGCTGCTTCCATGAGATCTTGAAAATTTACCTGTGAAAAAGGTGTTGGGCTTGTGGGGAGTAGGCCCGAGGCCCAGTGAAAAAAAGCAGTGTAACATTTCAAATGAAAAGCTTTTCTGCCTTGCAGATGAACCTGGTGGAGAAGAGCTGTAGGAATACTGAGTTGAGGAGAAAAGGGATCGTGGCTTTGATCACAAGATCTCCAGGTTTATTAGCAACTCCTGCTGTGATCTCCTCTTCTTGGAAATGCCTGCTTGTTACCCTTTGATGGCTTCTGGGTGACACCAGCACCATATTGCTGACATACGTGTTGCATCCCCCTTTGAGTTGGTGATATGAGGGGAAAAATGTACAATGGAAAATGTTTCATTTTAAAAAACGCATTGTGTAAGAACAATACTTTTGACAAGAAAAAAAAGGGGAGTGTCAGTATTGCTATGAACAGTTGGGTAACACAAGATTCTCAGACTTGCCTCAAACTGTGAGATGGGCAGCGAATAAATTTATTAATCAATAAATTTAATAATAAAAAGGTAACATAAAGACCGCCTTCTGCCACCAATAGCCTCCCACCGGCCAGTACGCTCACACAGAGTGGGCCTCCTCAGGGTGCCGTCCGCCAGACAATGTCGGCTGATGACTCCCAGTGGGAGAGCCTTCTCTATGGCGGCGCCCACCCTCTGGAACAACCTCCCCCCAGAGATACGTACAATAACAGACCTCCGGATTTAAAAAATGTTTAAACTACATAGAATTCTCACCTCCTTTTGCCTCTCAGCATCCTTTCAACAAAACAACCCTCTGCATTTCTCTCTAGCCTCAACAACTGACAGACATTTTCCACAAATTTATCTCTCACATCCTCAACACACAGGCATTCACAGGTCTCAGGATCACTTCCCCTTATCACTCCTTATGAACTTCGGGACATCTCACACACACACATTCACATTTGTACTGCAATCAGACTTTTTGTATAAACCAATTTCACATACAAAAATTTCATTTAATGCTTCCTCCATGCAAACCAATCATAATTATTTCAGGGAGCTTTTTCACAAGCCAATGAGCTCCATTTTCTAAATAACTTTTTGTGTACTGTTGTTAGAGGGTCTCATCCTTCCTGCAGGTTTGGAAATGATTACATACACACACATACACACACATACCATCAAACATTTCCAGACCTGTGGATGTTTTTTTTTGTTTTAATTTTATTTCCTTGGGCAATCTATAGCTTATTCTTAAAGCAGTGGGAAAACTCAGAGAGCAGTTTAAATCATAAATATGATTGGGCCCTAACTACTTTCCGTTTCCCACAGCTCCAAGCCAAGATGTTTACTTAATTTGCAGGCTGGCCAGACATATCACAATCAATTCTACATGCTATTATTATAGATGCATATCCAGGAATTTTTTAACAGAAATCACACCAAATTGATCAAGTCAAATTATATGAGTCTTCCCATTTAGGCAGGTTTTACATTTTTTTTAAATTACCTGCTAAAGCCCAGGTGGGAAGAACAATAAACAATTTCTTCTTTATTCTTAGTTCTGTCAGACTTCTCTGGCTCTTTCGAGAATGGTAAATTATCAAGATCTTTATAACACTGTAATATTTCTTTGCCACCCATAGATCTCTCTTTAGGCACTAGATTGTTACTACGTGCCTCTGCCCTGGGGGTGTTCTGTGTGTTCTCATTCTAACTTGGATCGCCCAGCAATCGCTGGCCCATTTTAAAGATCAAGATGTATAAGAGGTATAGAGACCTATGTTCACACATCGTTTGCATTTAGCCAGGGCTCTCATGAGCAAGTTTGAACTCCACTTTTCTTTTTACAGATAACTTTTACTGCCACATTTTTTCATTCATTTTTTTAATACTCTTTTTTGTTTTGTTTTTTCACAACTTGTTTGTAATGTGTTCCAGTGGGCTAACATAGCCAAATGGAGAAAACGGCCCAATTCTTGTTACTAGGTTATTTGTTCCAAACAGGCTACCAGCATGATTGCCCATTTTTCCCAGGGGATTCCTTTCTGTCAGCTCGAAGCCTGACTAGACTCTCTTTCTTCCTGAGGAGATTTCCCACACCTTTCCGTCGGTGCGAAGCCTAACCAAACCCTCTCTTTTTCCCTAAGAGATTTCCCAGACCTCCCCTGCGGGTCCGAAGTTTGGTCAGAGCCCTCTCCTGCACTACAAATTCTTATTCCAACAGTCACACTCCTTTCAAAGCGATCGTCTCTGGCTGATCTCCTCTCGGATAATCAGAAACGCAGATTGGATCTCCGCACATCGCTTCGAGGCCAAACCTCTGAGGAATTTCCCTCGTCTCATTCACACACTCACAAAGCAACACTCCCCTTCCCAAGAGAAAAAAAAAAGTCTACTCACCCAGAAGAGCTGAGTTCCATAACCCCCCACAGTGGAAGCCTCTTTGTTAGGCATTGAGGGCAGGCAGAATGGGAGCCTGCCAGCAAATGACCAGATCAAAGTCACTGAATAACTTTTTCCAGGAGCGCTCTTGACTTCGGTACTGGTCCAAGCTGGTTTCTCCTGTCTGCCTTTAATGAAGGCCACCAAGCCTCAAAGCGGCTCAGTTTGTGGGAAGCTGAATGCAGCCACCTTGAAGAAACTTTGCCTTCAAGTCCCACTTCAGGCGCCAGAAATGTAAGGTCCCAAACACACTTGAGTCACCAGAATGCCAAAGAGAGAGACTCAAGACAAGGCTTGCAAAAAAGCAGACTTTATTTATGGCCAAAAACAAAATACTGGCTGGAACTATATCCAGAACATACAGATACAATGCATGTGAGGAAATAGCCACACCTTGGGAAAGATATGGCGTCCTTTTATATCCTCAGAGACGTCAGCTTAGTACCGAATTCTGGCCTCCTAATTTAGGTTTGTGTATTCCTTGTTGCCCTGCAAGGGGGAATAGAAACTTCCCAATTAGTCATCCTTGAGCATTTCTGTCAGATATAAATGCCTTATTCTCCAATGTGTAAATAGTGTACAGACAGGGTATCAGGGGTTAACTTATTCTTCACTTCTTAATGTATTCATAATTCACCACTCCCACACATAGCTCCACCCATTGTATATATAAGGAGCTACCCACACCCTTTCCTTTGCTTCTATCTGTGAATATTCAGTGAATATAGAATGCCTAATGTAAATAAAAGAATATATAGTTAAATCTTTAACTCTTGTTGATCTTATTGAGTCTGATCCTGAAAATATTGCAACAAACTGGTAGCAGAGGATGGTTAATTGACTCAATAAAAAAGCTTTAAAATGTCTAAGAAAGATAGGCCCAACACCAGGGCCTACAGCAAAGAAATGGAAACGGAACAAGAAATAATCAACGAATCCACGAATGCAATTTCGAGAGAATCCGAAGAATACACCACTGAAGACGAAGAAATAATTGATGACCAGGAGGAAATCGAAATAGAAAATAACGAACTCAGGTCAGAGATATTAAAACTATTAAAAAGCCAGAAGAATGATGAAAGCCTCATCGCGAACCTCCAAGATATGCTGAAGAACAGCGGAGCAGCGAGAGAGAAAAACATCATCAATGAAAAACCCAAAGATCCAAAAATAGTGAGTAATATGACTGCGGAGAAAATCATTACAAAGAAGAAAAACGATGATCCCGCGCAAAAATTTGAATGGCGGCCATCTTGGTTTCAACCGGCCTCCAAGATGAACGAAGCAGAGCCAATCAGCAAGCTCAATTCAAAATTTCTGGCGCGAAAAATATTATCAGACAACGAAAACGAAAAGGAAGATTCAAACACCTCAGAAGAATCAGAACCAGAAAGCGAGGAAGATCCAACAAAACACCAAATAAATTCAGCGATGAAAACGCTCTTTGCTGCATTTGGGCCAAAACTGAAAATTACTAAAAAGACACCAAAAAAGCGAACGAGCAAGCCGATGCCTCAAGACCTGCCCGCTCCCATCCTGACTACTAGAACGCTGACGCCGGAACCCAGAGAGCCCTGCCGATACCGCCCTATGCCGCAGACCGAAGCAAGCACCAACGCTCTCAATAGAAGAAGAAGAACAGCCACCGTCACCAGAACCCCCAAAGTCGAACCAGAGACCGACTCATCTGAAGAAGAGCAGAGCGAGCAGGCCGTGGTGAGGAGAACCTTCCACGACGACGCCGAAGAAGAAATGAGCAACGCGCATGCGCGAAACTACGCTGACGATCCGGGAAGACATGAACAGGAGAGAAGATCATGCAGACTCGTAGCGAGGATCCCCACGCCGTTTTGCAATTTTCTGCATTTACGAGACCACGGACTACCTCAGGTTGTAAGTAATGGACCCAATAATGTCGGAAATTTACCCAGTGACTTCCCAAAACTAAGGGTTGATGGCATTAATTTACAAGAATGGTATCAACAGCTCCAGGTTGTCTTTATGAAGGAAAACTTACTGTTTTTTATCACTAGTCCCCCAAAAAGACCTTGGACACTAAAAATAGATTGTTTACACCATAGAGCTTTTTTCTTAATAATATCTAGTGTGTCTCCTGCAATGTATCACAGCATTAAGCCAAATTTGACTGTTTCAGAAATTATTCAATGCATGTTTAATTTGTATCACAGTGACAGTGTAGCTACCACCACAAGGATATCTAAAGACTTCTTTTCATCTAGGATAAAACCAGGGGTTTCCATAAGTGAACATTTAATATCTTTGAACAAAATAAGAGCTGAATTGCACTTGAGGGGGGAGGTGATTTCAGACCAAACAATGAAAAGTGTTATTATCAACTCACTTGATCCATCATGGGACAATTTTATGTCACATTTAGACACAATCAATCTAGGGTATTTATCCATAGAAAGTCTATCTAACAAATTGATAACAGAAGATAATTCTAGAAGGAATCGTTCTAACAATCACACAGAACATAAACCATATAGGAAAGTAGCTTTCCAAGAAAAATATAGTGGAACATTTAAATGTCATAATTGTGGATTCAGGGAACACAATAGAAGAGATTGCCCAAAATTCTTAAAAGAAAGATATAGATCAGAATACAGAAACAAATACGATTATAGACAGCCTTCCATAGAAAGGCATAGATATAGGAGCCCACCAAATCACAGGGAGAATAGAGGGGGCAGAGACAATTCAAAGGATAGAAAGTCTGGTTCACTGAATGGATTAAATAAACAAGACAACACTAACACACAACAAAGTGAGGACAATAATTGGCTTATTGATTCTGGAGCAACTAATCACACCACTAATAACAAAAGTATATTGTCTTCATTTGCAGAAGATAAATTTGTAATTAAGGTAGCTAACCAAGAAAAGGTTCAAGTATTACGTAGAGGAAATGTAAACTTGCCTGGTTTAGGAAAAATAGAGGGGGTATTACTAATACCTGAAATACCTCATAACATATTAAGTGCCATAAAACTAAGCAGAGATTCTGACATTAACATTGTCTTTTCAAAAGGAAAGGCAACTTTGGAAAAGAATAAAATAAATGTAGGCACTGTAGTGACTAAGGGA